ACCTGTTTGGTCTTTAATACACAACTCTCCATTTTATTCCTCTTGACAGTGGTAGGCTGGTACATTTTTTAGTGACTGACTGTCTGTTTTGTCAATGTAAGGAACACACATTGGCCCAAACAGTCTCTGAGTATTTAACAGCCAGGTTTCAGACAGCTTTATAAGTTTGTCATAACACAATCACGTTTCCAGCCCCAAGCTGAGTACCAATTTTCTGGTTATCATCTCAAAGTTACTTCTCAATCTTTAGTTTCAACTCCATCATCAATAGTCATATAAATGAATTCTTTCTGGCAGCTGCATGGCATGGGATCTGTTTATCTAGTCATCTCAGAGGAAAGAAAGTTATGCCTGGTGAACCTAGCCAACTACCTGTGGCCAGAGAGGTCTGTAATAGAGCCTAGAGAAGAGTGTGTTACTGCCATTTTCCTAAATTAATGTGATTTGTGACTCTACTTTCCTTATTCCCACAGATAAGTGTAGCTCTCATCCCTCATCAAAGAAGCTTCTCTTTGCAACATACAGAGACAACTATAGAAATCCACAACTTGTATAAAGAGGAAGTGACTGAAGGGCACCCATCCCTACCTGATATTCCCATAACATCGCTCATACATTTATGACTGACTCAGGGAGCAGCATGGAAGAGAGAGCAGAGAGACTGACAGAACCAGAGGCTCAAGTTGCCTCCTGATAGATAGTGACCTCACGACATGATAGGTAAAATGTACTCGTAGACTCTCAAAAATGTGGTTGTCTGACCTAGACCAGCATAATAACAATACCAGCTGACATATCATCATAGAGAAGGAAAAGACCGCAATGTCCTACCTCTAGATGATTCAGATGGTCAATGACTGTTAAAAGAGGAAGAATCAGTTTCTGGCAAGGACAAGCTTGGTCATAGGTTTTCCAATTCCGAGTGACCAACTCTGGACACGTGTACATATAAGCAATGGTATATGGACTTAGTAGGTTGTATACACACACATATATGTGCACACATGCACACGCATGTATACATACATGCATGTGCAAGTGTGTGTATATATAACAACAGTAAAGAAGAGGCTATGAATTGGGGAGGAAGGGGGAGATGCAGGAGGAGCATGCAATGTCCATGTGTGAAGTTCTCAAAAATAAAACAAAATAAAATGTCCTGTCTTGTATCCCACCAGTTCTATTTTGTCAGCATCTCTTCTAGGAACCCATCCAAAAATAATTGAAAAATTGTGTGCACCAAGATGTTCAGTCTGGTATTACTTAAATTAAGGCATTTTAAAAGGCAAGAAATCAAACAGTGGCTTAAGTAAATCTATTTGATAGGATATTATGCAACTTGAAAATTATGTTTTATCAAAATTGTAGAAATGTGGAAAAAGCATATACCGATAAGCAATAAAATCAGGAAAGAACATTTTACATGCATAAGAATCATGTTAAAATAGAGCCTGGGATATGTCTCAGAGGGTGAAGGCTTAGAGGGATGCAGATAACCTGGTTTCTATAAGCAGAATCCACAGGGTAGAAGGTGAGAAGGAACTTCTGCATGTTGACCTCTGATTCCTACTCATATGCTGTAGCATGTATACACTCTCATCCTCAACACATGCCAAGTAAAGAAATACTAAAAATGAAATTAGGAAAAGAAAGGATTTAAAAATATGAATGTCAGAATAGAAAAAACAAGGTGTTTCAGAAAACAACTTATTCTGTGCTAACTTTCAGAAAGTGATTTTCCCTACCATATCATTCTATTTAATTTTGTTTACCTGAGATTTATTTTTTTAAAGGCTCACCAACAAAGTCTACAGGATAGTTGCTTAGAAGGAGAAAAACATGCCATTATACATTAAACTCCAGTTATGAAGAATTAGGTTTTCAATGTGAGACCTAATTTAGGATCCCAGTCTTCCTGTCATTCATTCTTCAAGGATGAGTCCTCTCACTGAAATGTCAGCTGTACATGAGCAGCTATCAACATTCCCTTTCAGAGAAGTGGTTACTACCACAGGCTTACATGAGTAATACATTGCCTCTTAAATCTTATGATATTTTTTCCTTCCATGGAGGGGAAGACTGTCCTACCTATTCATAAACAGGTGAGAGAGGAGGGCAGTCTGTAGGGCTTATCCTATGAGACTGCAAATGGGTTGGGTTAGGTTGGGATTAACTAAAAGACACAGTGATGGGCAGGTAGTTCCTGCAAGGATTAACTGAGGGAGGAAGTCTCTCCCCCAGGGTCAGCAGCATCCTTTAATAGCATTCCAGATGAGAAAGGGATCCCATGGCTAAGCTGCCAGCTCACTTTCTAATGCTACTGTGTGAACCTCTGTTTTGTTGCTGTAGCTGTCATCTTCTGCTGACAGTGGAACACAGATTCATTGGCCCTCCAGGGAGGACTGAAGACCAGTGACTCTCCAAGCATCACACCGGGCTGCCACTACTCCTAGGTTCTCAGACTCTCTCCAGTGTGAAGACAATCATTGTTAAATCACACCTATTATGTAAGCCAATCTAAAAATCTCTTTCTAATATATACCCATCCTGTTGGTTTCTGTTCCTCTAGAAAACACTGACTCATACAGCATGTTTTTGCTCGTGTGCAAAATTTATATTGGCACACACAGAGACCATTGGTGCAGAAGGAGCACTATTTGGGGGAAGGAAGAGAACCATAATAATTGGGGAAAGGAACTAGAAAGGACCTTGTGGGACATGAATAAGGTCACGGTACAGTAATTCACCCTGGGGTGGTCTGAATAACTCCCAAAGGCCTATAGATTGGAATGCTTGGTCATAAGACAGGACTTAGGAGGTGTGGCCTTGTTGGAGAAAGTATGTCACTGAGGGTGGGCTTTGGGGTTTCAAATGCTCAAGCCAGGCCCAGTGTCATGCTTTCTTCCTGCTGCCTCCAGATTCAGATGTCACCAGCACCATGTCTGTCTGTGTGCTGCCATGCTTAAACCTCTGAATATAAGCAAGTCTCTATTAAATCCTTTATTTTATGAGTTGCCAGGGCCAGAGCATCTCTTCTCAGCAATAGAACACTGACTTGATAGATAGATAGATAGATAGATAGATAGATAGATAGATAGATAGATACATACATACATACATACATACATACATACATATGTGTGTTTGAAATGCTATAATATACCCTTATTTTGATCATTAACTGCAAAAATAGTAAAAATATGATTATTTAAAAAGGCTGCATAGATGCAACATTTTGATTTATAAAGAAGCAACAATAGCAATATTTCTGCAGTATTTCCAAATAAACCACCAAAGACTATGCCAGTATCTGCAGTAAGCCTGAAACAGCAATAAAACCTCCAGGCTGCAAACCTCCCTGGGCTTAAATATTGTCTTCTGCTCATACAGCCAGAAAAATATTGAACGAAGCCACATTCTTCCTGTCCTTCTTTTTCCCTCCTATTCAGAACCTGGAGTCAACTAGCTCAGTTCTCTCAGTCTGATAAGTCACTGATAAAATAAATGTAACTCACATTGTTTCAATTTTCACTCAAAACCATAAATATGGCATGATGCACATCTTGTCTGGCAGTCATCTCTGCCCTTCCCCAAGTACCAACATGTCCATGTGAGCGTTTACTAGCATAGCTTCTAGCCAAGCCAATCCAGGGGATATAAAGAACCGCCCTGCTTTTCCCTATGGCTGTTCTTCACAGGGTCACTGATATCCTAGAATCTAACAGGCAAACAAATAAAAAGATCTATTTCTTCCCAAAAATGGATGAAACGAAACAACAAATCCTCTCTTGACAAATTGGAAATGGCCACTCTTTGAAGACTAATTCGTAGCAATACCATTTTACTCATACCGTTACCCAGTGATCCATTGGGCTATAGAACTTTTTATAGTTTGTTTCCTTCCAACACCACTTAAAGCATTATGAACAGATAGGCTCACAGATCCTTCCTTCTCCCCCCACCCCCGCCCCGCTCCATCCAACATCCCATCCTATCTCTTCATTGTCAAACCCTTCAGGATTTATATACACGCAGGCTTCTCTTTCATTACTCCCCAACCAACTCAGATTAAACTTATACATCCAACACAGAATTCCAACGCCATTGGACTTAGAAGGACTCCTCTAGACCGTAGTTCCCAACCATCCTAATGCTGCAACCATTCAACACAGTTCTCAGTGTTGTGGTGAGTTCCAAACATAAAATTATTTTCATTACTATTTTATAACTGTAATTTTGCTAGTCTTATGAATCATAATGTAAATAACTGCTATGTGGGATATCTGATATGCAATTCCTGTGAAAGTGTTGTTCAACCCCTAAAGGGGTCGCGACCCAGAGGTTGAGAACAGCTGCTCCCGGACCTGAGGACTGGGTTCTATCACTGTCAGTGGGTCCCATATTGCTCTCTCAGACAATATGTGGATCTGAGAGCCACACCACTCCTTAAAACTTGCGCTGTCCCTCGACTCACAGCATTTCAAAGCAAGCAAGGTCTATCTCAATCTAGAAAAACCTTAGACCCTGTACTAACTCCATCTGAAGAGTCAGTTCTCTCTCAACTTCCCACAACTGTTCCCTCAGAACAAGGAGCCTCCCTCCCATCACGCCCAGGACCTGGTTCTTAATAAACGTAACCTGAAGCCTGCCTTGCCTTTGTGGATTTGTTATTTGCGACATTCATCTTGTCACCCAGCCCAGCCTGGGGTCTGGATAGAAATATGTTTCTGATCCATTAACATTTTCTCAATGATTGGGTATAATACAGTGCATTGTAATTATCTGTCAGTAATTATCAAAACATGCTGAAAATTCCAGGCTCACAAATTGTCAAAATATTACATATCAAAACATCATGAGATAAACAGAAACATGATTCTATTTAAAGTTTTCTGGAACTTTCTCTTGTTTTAGAGCAAACCTGCTAAAGACAGGAAATATTTTTGTTTTATTTTGTTTTTTACATTGAATGGACCAGCCATCCAGACGGGCAAGCCTACCTCGAACCACTGCCCATGGGATTGCATCTTGAGGATGACACAAGGGTCCGGCTTGGACAGAGCATCTCTGTCAGAAATGCCTTTGCATGCCACACGCAGCTCGACTTTGGTCAGGCAGGGGCTGTTAAAGATTCCCAGCGTGTTGGCAGCTGACTCATAAATGTTGCTCATCTTCTTCATTCTGTGTTAGAAAATAAAAAGGGAAAAAAAAATGACGTGCCAGTCACTGCAATATTTTTCAAAAGAGGAAGCGTCTCCATCCCCATTCAGGAAACTGTTCAGCACACAGATGCGAATGTCTGAAGTTTTTATTGTCTCATGTTTCAGCTGACTAGCAATTTCAGTGAAGCAGGTAACAAACAATCCTCCCCAGCACTACAAAAATAAAGCTTCCCAACCAGATGCTGGCACACTTGGCTAAGAACCCCATTTTCCCATATCATTTATATAGTAAAAATTTTCATCTGTGAAATAAAAATCATGAATTAGTGAAACATACCATAAGATGCAATCCAGATTTATATTAGCTATAAGCTTTCTGTGAATCTACTTTCTTTTTTTTTTTACTGATCTGTTTGGCTAATGAATTCTATCACATCTCATTTATTATTTTTAATTATTATTGCAGCGTGTTGTGTTTGTCTGAAAGTACAGGTGTGTGTTAACCATGCAGCATGTGTAGAGGTCAGAGGACACCCCTGTAAAGTTGGTTCTCTCCTTCTACCTGTGTAGGTTCCAGGAATCGAACCCAGATTGCCTGTCTTACGTACAACAAGCATCTTCATCCACTGAACCGTCTTACTGCCCCTTCGAGTTTTCATAAAACTCCAACTCTCCTCCTATGTAATGGATCATAGAAGTCCATTGTCTTGTCTCTGAAAGCAATCCAAGTTTCTCACTTCTAAACACTAGCTCATTTTCCCAAGATGCCCTTGGCAAGCCCGTACCCAAGGAAAGCCCAGCATGGGTTTTTCTACCTCAAGTGTCTACGTTTACTCTTTCCTCCCTATCCTCTAGACTCCCAGTTACTATATCAGGACTCAAAACTAAAAGGGAAAAATGGGGAGACGAAAAGACCAACCAACCAAACATCCCTCAGAGCCTGATTCAGAACTCCTGAAACATCAGACATGGACCTAAACATTACGACCTAGCCCAGTTCAACTGTCATGCAGTGCTCAGGTAAGAGGTACCCACACTTTCCTCCTCTGAACAGATGAAGATGTTGGGGGACTCTCAGGAATAAAATCCTCACAGCATGCTCTATGCTTCTAGTTGCAGCAGGAAAATCAGCAAAGGCTTCCTGATCTTCATGTGGAGTTGATGTCTTACAGTGAAATTTCTCCTATAAGGCTGAAAAGTCCCTCCTTGTCTCCTTCTTTTCCACAAGTATTTTGTTTCTCCCTGTTGCTATTGCCATACTAGTTCAAATGAGTATGCCACATCACCTCTTTCACAGGGTGCTGATTGTACTTCAGCCTTAAACACACATGTGCATGTACATATGCACAGACACCACATGTATATATACAAATACACCACAGTAAAGTTTTAGTGGGATGCAGGCATATACATATTTACTTACCTATTATCTGTGGTTACTTTGATTTCAATGGCTGCACTCACTAGTCGAAATAGAGATTGCAGGGCCAACAATGCCTGAAATATTTACTATGTAGTCAGCAAATATGTGCCAACCCTATCTCTAAAATGTCAGGTTAAGGTGCATTTGTGATTGAAGGGAATTACCATCCTATTTTTTTTTCAAGCGTGTTGGAAAATTAGTCTATGAATGCATGCAACTCTGTCTTCTACCAACTGAATATTAATAAAGACTTCGGGACAGTTGTTTTTTTCCATATTAAAAAAAGTCAAGTTCCGAGATGATTGGCTGCTTGCCCGTGTCGCATAATTATTCTAATGGCAAGACAGGAGCTTCAATGCTACCTTTCTCTCTCTCAGCCTACAACAAGCAAAACCTTCAGTGTAGAAACTTCCAAATCTACCAAGGCACAATAAACACAGCAAACATCCTGGACTTGTGTCAGCCCCACAGTCATACTTCCTTTCTAGTTCAAAGTAACTGTTATTCAAATATAGAAAACAAGCAGGCTGTAAATCTGCAGCTTGCTGAATTATGGTCCCTGTATTTGTACAAATTGTGAGCAACATGAGAACCAAGGCAAGCCTGAATGAAGACCATGGCAAAGCAAATGAGGAAGAGAAATGTCTCAGATGAAGATGTCTTAGTATAGAGAGACGGGTTGCTAAGTATTCAGTGGATATTGCCAGTTTTCAGTAGGACAGAGTCATCCCAAACTCCTGATTCTCCCAGTGCACTCATTGCTTCCTTCCAATCCAGTATGTTCTTCTGCTGTTCTTGTCGCCACCACTCTCACTAGGAACCATCCCTACCGTCCCTTCGTAGGATCACATCTGTCCTTTTTCAGATGTGAAGCCTCTATAAAGAATAATCAAGCTTCTCCTAGGGAATGGGGCATCTTCTCTAAAGCCCATCTTCTGTTTAAGACTTATTTATGTTTCCTTTATGGGTATGAGTCTTTTACCTGAATGTATGTAAGTGTACCCTGTGTGGGCCCTGGTGCCCATGGAAACAAAAAGAAGCTCTTTGTGAGCTGCCATGTGGTTGCTAGGAACCAAACTCAGGTCCTCTGGAAGAGTAGTAAGTGCTCTTATCCCCTGGACCATCCTTCTAACTCCTCTAATGCCAGTGTTAATGGTGATGTATGACGCAAGAGACTCTATCAAAGAGAAGCAGTTCCATGTTTGACTGCTTAAATCCTAGTTTCTCCACTCACTGTGAAACATGGAACAGGACCCCCAACCTGTCTGTTAGTAGCATCGATGAAGAAAAGATTCTGTAATGAATATATGAAATAACGTAAGTCAAGTGGTTTATACAATGTTAGGCACATGGTAAATACTCTCAAAGTTTCAGCTACTGTTCTCATTGTCTGGCTTCTTTCAAGAAAAAAAAAACATTCTCCTATTTGGAATCTCTAATATGTCTCCCTATTGCTTAAAAAGCAATGCACAATTCACTCCTGTAAAGTCCTTTTGCCTTTGGAGTTGTGGTGGTTTAACTGGGGCTGGCTTACAGGCTCAGAGTTTCAGTCCACTATCATCATGGCAGGAAGCATATCAGCATCACAGGCGTAGCACTGGAGGCACTGAGAGTTCTCCATCTTCATCCAAAGGAAGCCAGGAATATACTCTTCTCAGGCAACTAAAAGGAGAATCTCGAAGCCCACCCCCACAGTGACACACTGTGTTAAGGCCACACCTCCTCCAACAAGGCCACACCTCCTAACAGTGCCACTCTCTGGGCCAAGTGTATTCAAACCACCACAGGAGCTCACATTATCGAGGCATACCTTCCTCTAAAAGCTCATAGCCACTTCTCAAGTCAGCAGTTCACCAGGGAAGCCGTGTGCACGAGTTACTATTTCTTATAGATTCACAGAACAAGGAGAAAATGGTGGTGCCTGCTCTGATAAATTTGTCTAGCTGCAGTCTCAGCTTCCAAGTCAGGTCATTTATCCTCCTGACAGTGATCTTTCTATAGCAGCAGCTGGCTCATAGGAACCATGTATTTCATAAAAGCCACCTTTTAGTCTACATGACAGATGGTCACATGTCCTGTGTGTGTGTGCATGAGAGGTCTGCTGGAATCTACATGAGTTCTACATCACAGGCAGCTCCACAAACACATCTTCCCTCAGTTTTTCATTCAGAGATTACTACAGTGCTTTCCCCCTACATGTACCTTGCTGTCCTATGGGCTTCAAGCAGAAACAAATGCTTCCATAAATGCAAAGAAAACCTCTGATTGAATGTAATACAATCATGAAGATAAGAAACCACATTGGTGGGGGGAGGATCAGAGGTGCCATATCTGCTCTTGATTTGAAGTTCCTATCAGCCAGCTTACCTGATTGTCAATGGTAGCAATCTATTCATATGTGCCAAAAATTGTCCAAAATCAACTGATAATTATCAGGTTTTTTTCACAGTAATTAATGGTGATTGTGTAGCAGTTTTCTACAAGATTGATACATTCCCTTCTCCAGGGAAGCTCATTCAGATAGGAAAACGGCAACTTAAAATAACTTCAGGAAGTTCCTGAAACAGATGAGATTCACTAGGCCTTTCCCTCCCAAGAATATATAAATAGGAAATATTGCTACAAGTCACTTCCAGACAAGACAAGCTGCAAAGATTCTCAGAGAAGCCTAACCTCTTAAAAGAAGCAGAGATCAGCTGAGTAGACTGGAAGAAGCAGAGACTAGTCAAACTGCCTAAAAGAGCCAAAGACCAGTTGAGATGCCAGGAATAGTCTCAGAACAACTGAGCTGCCTGGAAATGACATGTGTGACCCATTGACATGCCTGCAGGCTGTGCAGTGTACTTCAGCTTTTGAGATGTCATCCATGCTGAAATGGCCCTTGGTGATGTAGCTGTCTTTAAGTCATTTCTGTCCTATAAGTAACCCAAATAAAACTCATTGGTCTACTAATGTGGACTTTGGTCTATATTGGTCTGCCTATCTGGAATAAGGTGTGTCTGTGGTGTTTCCCTAGGAAAGGTCTGTCATACAACATGGTATAACTTAAATTAATGGTATGCCATATACTGAAATATTGAGGTATCTTTGAGAATTACAGAAGTTTTCTTGGGAATCTGGGGTACCAGAAACTTGAAGGCCACCAAAACCACCCAAGCTCAAGTTCTTGTGTTGCAAATACAAAACATGAAAGTCACGGACCACAGAGGAAGGCAAAGAACCAAAAGTAGCTGCAGCTAATAGGAAACTGAGTTCCTTAGGCTCAAGGATATGAATTTTTGTCAACAAATATGCGAGCTTGGAAGTATATCATTTCCAAATCAAATTTCATATGAGACATTATCCCTAGATGATACCCAAGTTATAGTCTCACAAGACCCTGAAGCAATGAATATAACTGACTCATGACCATAGGCCTAGGGCATAGGTAGTGACTACTAGAACACATGGCTGCACCTTTACGCCTGATCCCGTATCCTGAATCAAACCACTTCACCATCCAGCTCTCTCTGGGATTAAAAAGCATAATGGGCTGTGACTTAACAGCTGTCAATTTATATCTGGCTCTACCATGCTCCCTGTCATACATGCTATGC